CATTCCTGCCGTGTCAGGGCAGGATCCATCCAGGAAGGAGCGTGGCCGAGGGAGCAGAGCGAGGGCAGAATGACCGGCTGTGGTTCCTGTCCCAGTCCTGCTGATTCACAGTGTGGGGGGTGAGTCAGTGGCCTTTCCCCTCCCTGGACCGGGGTTCCTGGCTCAAAGGGATGCTGAGATGCCCAGGGGATGCTCAGGGCGGGTTTTCCAGCCTGCACATGGGGTGAAGACGTGGCCGTTTGCAGAAGTGACAGCATCCCAGCGTGGTGGGACCACATGTGCTCCCACGTGAGAGCTGACCCTGGCCCTGCTGGGCACCCTCACCATGTCTGGCAGAGCATCCATCCCGAATACAGCATCCGTCCCCTTGCAGAGCATCCAGTCCCAAGGAAAGCATCTGTCCCTTTGCAGAGCACATTCCCCCAACACCAGCCCCCAGACTTGTGGGGTTTGATTGCCTTTATTCCAGGTGCAGCAGGGGTGTCCCCACGGGATGTGTCCAGGGAGGGGGACAGGAAGGTTTTGGGGTAGGCACAGCCCAGGCACAGGGTGAGCCCAGAGTCGGTGGAGACTGGCCATTCGGTTCAGCTGTGCCTCTTCCCCGTACGGCTGCGTCCTGCTTTGGCTGTGTCCCGGTTTGCCCTTGTCCCTTCCTGGTTCCGTGGTGCCCTGGATGGGCTGTGACCTGGCTCAGTTCCAGTGTGCCCCGGTTCAACTCGTTCCGATTCAGCCATTCCTGGTTGAGTTGTGCCCTGGTTCACTCCGTCCCGTCCTGGTTGAGCCCATCCCCATTGAGCTATGACCCGGTTTAGCCTGTCCTATCCCATCCTGGTTCAGACCGTCTCGGATCATCCCAACACAACCCATCCCAGTTCATCCCATCCCTGTTCAGCCTGTCCTGTCCCATTTCATCCTAGTTCATCCCATCCCATTCCAGTTCATCCTGTCTCATCCCATCCCCGTTCATCCCACTCAATCTTGGTCCATTCTGTCCCATCCCATCCCTGTTCAACCTGGTCCATCTCGTTCCGTCCTGGTTCATCCCATACCGTCCTGGTCCACCCTTTTTCTCATCCCGGTTCATCCCTATTCATCTTGTCCCTGTCCATCCCATCCCATCCCGGTCTATCCCGGTCCATCGCTTCCCGGTCCCCGAGGCCAATACCGGCTCCGCGCGTCACAACAGCGCCACCTGCTGTCGCCGCCGCGCTCCTCCGCCGCTCCGGTGCCCCGGGCTAGCGCAGGAGCGGCGTGGAAGAGCCCAGGTACGTGCGGAGGTCGCTGAGCGTGGACGGGATGATCTTGGCGGGGATGGTCTCCCGGTTGAGCGCCTGGTGGGCGGCGAAGCGGTGGCAGCCCCCGAAGGAGTAGAAGTAATCCCCGCCCTGGGTGCCCTTGATCCAGAGCACGTCGATGGGGGGCACCCGCTCGGGGTCCTCCTGCCAAGGACAAGACCCCCCGGCGATGACACCGCCACAGCCTGTGCCGGGGATCCCCATCACAATGGAGGGGTCCCGGGGGAGCGGGGCCGCTCACCTGCAAGGTCTCCATCAGGCTCCGCACCTTGTCCGGCTCCAGCTGCGCAGGGATGGGCCGGATGAGGACGCGCATGGGCACGTTGTGCACGGCCGAGATGTGCTGCGTGTGGATGCTCTGGTCCCCGGGCTCGGCCATGGCTGCTGCTGCCCGGAGCTGGCTTCGTCCTTCCTGCTGCGGGCCCGGCCGAGCGCACTTCTCCACCCGGAGCAGGGCAGCGCCCAGCCGGGCCCCTTTACTTCCTCCCGGCCCGGCCATCACCACCGTCATCGCCACCGCGCCCGCCCCGAGGTTTTGCAGAGTCACAGTGAAGGGGCAGGACCGGCTGCGGGCCCGGTGCCAGCGCGGCCTGGCCCGGTGCCCGTTGCTCTCTGCCCCGGCGAGGCTGCGGGTAGGGATGAGCCCCTCTCCGGGGCTGCTCCATGTGCTGAGGGTCTCTGCTGCTCCTTGGGGGCTGCCTGAGGGTCTCTGCTCCTGCCTGGCCAAGTGGGGCACTACGGCTAAGCCTGCAGCACCTCACAGGAGCTAGGATGTGCCCCCACCCACCCCTGCTGCACTGATGCCCATGGGGTCCTCGGTGAGGAAGAGGAGGCACGAGGCAGCCCCAGAGCTGAGCAGTGCAGCGCAGATGCTCTGCAGCCAGGCACACACCGCAGCATTCCGGCTCTGAATCTTTCTAGGTCATTTCTCCAGCCCAGTGTTCCAAATGGTGCAGAGGCTCCTGGGAAGAATTGGATCTCATATCCTCATATCCCACTGGTGGCTGCAACCACGGCAGCCTGGATCCATGATGCTGATGGATGGCTGCTCCCGGTCCCCTCACCCTGGCTCCCAGGGGTCACGGAAGGTCCCCAGCCCCAGCACTGACTCAGAAACACACCGGTGTGACCGGGCACTGCCCGTGTGAGGAGCAGTGATGAGGATGGTCAGGGACCGGTTTATGGAGCTGCAGGATGAGATTTTGTCAGGATGAATCCCGTGGTGACTTCACAGGTGAATCGCTGTGCCTGAGGGGCAGCACCGATGTCACCGGGAGCACAGGGCTCAGCGAGGGCTTTGCTGATGTCCTGGAGGCCCAAAAAAACTCACCTTTTCCCTTTGGCACCCATCCGTAGGGAGGGAAGGCAGCGAGTGGGGGCCAGGAGCTCCTGCCTGCCCTGGAGCTGCTCCCACTGCCCCATCTGTGCCTCTGTGTGGGCAGGAGGGGATGCAAACACCAAATCCTCCCCATCCATCACAGCTGAATCCCATCACTGCCCCCCCCCGAGGCTGCCCGCCGGGCTCTGAGCCCCGCTGCCAGGGTTTCACACGGCGCTTTACTTCCAGGTCACTGCTCTGCCGCATTCCCGGGCAGGGCGATGTTCCCAGCGCCCCGCTCACCGCAGCAGGGGATCTCTGGCTCCTGCTGGAGCTGGCAAAGCAAGGCGGGCAGTCCTGGGTGCTCCGGGTGCCAGAACACATCCAGCCCTCGGCTTGGGGCGGGTGATGCCCTTGGGACACGGCTCCAAGGGATGGGGATCCACCACCCGCTCTCCCCTCCCCGGTATAAATGCCCCGAGACACGCGGTTAGTGGCAGAAATCCCTTTTATATCCCTGAATTGCGTTACAAGTAATACTGCGGGCGGCCGGTTCTCAGTGGATTCCTCCTACTGGGGGCTGGCGAGTACAAAACCTGGCAGAAAAAATCTATCATCATGCACGGAAAATTATTGCTGTAGTGTCTGCTATTTACAGGAGAGACGGGGGCAGAGGAGCGGGGCCGCGCCGGCACCGCGGGGGGAAGCCTTGCGCTGCTGCTGTGCGCTGCGGCTGCCTGCGCGGAGTTTGGGGGGCACGGCAGCGAGGACCGTGACAGGGACATCCCCGGGGAGGCGCGGAGCCTGCGAGCAACGGGAGCACCGAGGCGGCGGGAGGAAGACGTTGCAGGGAGGAAGACGGCACAGGAAGACTGCGTGTGTGGGGACCGCGAGCCCCGCGGGGTGCCGGGCTTGGAACCCGAAGGTACCGGGCACCGGCACGGGGTGATGGGGACCGTGGCTGCTCGCGACCCGAGGTAGGAAGCGGAGGCGCGGGTCGGGCCCCGCTCCGGGATGCCGCACGCACGGCGCTTGCTCCAGGGATGCTCCGCTGGGACGTTGCATAGAATGGGGCTGGTTTGTCCCCGCTGCTGGCGCGGGGCAGGGAGCAGCGAGGCAGCCAAAGGGAGAAGGGCTTTGCCTCTGGAGGAGGCTTGCAGGGCGCGGAGCCCCGGGTTCCCAGCTCATGCCCTCCTGCCTCTGTGCCTGCTGCGTGATCCGCTCTCGGGGTGCCGTCCCCATCCGTGTCACCGTGGCTGTGTCCTGGGGACGGCGGCTCTGCTGCAACTCTGCCGCCTCCAGCGCTGGCACGGCCCTGCCAGTCTTGGCAAATAAATAGTGAAAAGCATAAGTTATAAATAATATAAATAAGAATAATATAAATAGACTCACCCAAACTTGACGGCTACACTGACCCCTCCTCCAGAGCGCAGGCAGGGGGCGATGGGTTAGGGGGGCTGGCAAGGGGTCTGGGCAGAGGCTGTGGGGACATGGGGAGCGGTTGGGGGTTTGGGTGCTGCCCCAGGGCTGGCTGTTCAGCCCAGTTGCCAGCCTGGCTGTTTGCACAGCAAGGGGGCTGCACTGGCCCGGGGGGCTGTTCCTCAGCCCATCACCATGGCAGAGCCCACTTGTGCCTGCCCAAGCTGGGAGCCAGCAAGGGATGTGTCCCCTGGGGCTCTGCTGGGGGCCCCATGCTCTTCCTAGGGCTATGGACCCACAGTGCCAAGGTGAGCACCACAGGGCCATGTCCCATGGGATCGTGCTGGCCAGGGGCATCAGGGTGCCCCAGGGCCCGTGCAGTGGGCTGCAGGGACCCCAGACTCCAGGGGTGACCGACAGCCCAGCCGCACCATCCATCAGCCCCGCTGAGCCATCGGTAGCGCCAGCCCACGGTCCCATCAGTGTCAGGGGTCAAGGTGAGCTTTTGCTCCTGGGGGCAGGAGCAGAAAAGTGTCTTTTCTCCCCCGGGATCCCCCGGGGAGGAGAAGCAGCAGCTCTAAATAAATAATGGTAATAAATTAAATAAATAGAGGTGAAAGCCAGGAGCTGGGGGAGGAAAAATCTCTCCTGGGTCTGGAAGAGGTCCTGAGGTCCCCGCAGAGAGACCTGCCTGGCTGCGGGGGGGCTCAGGGACCTGCGGGCGAGGAGCCGGGTCCTGCCGTGGTCCCGGCTGGATCCAGCCCTTCCCAGGAGCGCTGGGACACCCTCCTCCCGCGTGGGGAGTGAGTCTGTGGGGACGCGTCCTCCAGCCACGGCACAGCCACAACTGGGCTGGCCGCAGCTGCAGGAGTGCTGGCGCGGGGACCAGGATTGGGATGGGGACAGGGATGGCAATAGGGATGGGGATGAGGGCTGGGATGGGGATGTGGATAGGGATGGGGATGGGGATGGGATTGGGGATGGGGATGGGGATGGGAATGGGGATGGGATAGGGATGCAAATGGGGATGGGGACGGGGATAGGGATAGGGATGTGGATGTGCCACAGGGGGCTGTGGGGCTAGTTCCCTATTGCACAGCTGTGTTCGGAGCCCTTGAAGCAGGCGGACTCGTAGTGCTTGTTGAGGTACGACTTGAGAGCGAAGGTCTTCTCGCACTGCTTGCACTTGTAGTGCTTGAAGGCCGAGTGGGTCTGCATGTGGGCGCGCAGGTTGGAGCGGTCGGCGAAGGCTTTCCCGCAGTGGGAGCAGCCGAAGGGCTTCTCCCCGGTGTGCGAGCGCATGTGGCCCTGCAGCAGCCAGGGCCGGCTGAAGGCTTTGCCGCACACGTCGCACTTGTGCTTGAGGTTGTGGGTGAGGACGTGCATGGCCAGGGCGGGCATGGACACGTAAGCCTTGCCGCAGGTCGGGCATTTCCTCGCCATCTTGCTGTCCAGGCTGCGGTGGGTTTGCTTGTGCCGGCTCAGGTTGGAGGACGTGGCGTAGGTCTTGCCGCACTCGGGGCAGGAGTGGCGGTGGCTGCCGCGGCGCTGGCTCTCGCTGCGCCGGCGCGACCGCCCGTCCGTGATGAAGAAGGCATCCATGGAGTAGCTGTCCGTCACCGCCGCCTCCCCGTTGAAGTAGCGGGCGGAGAAGCTGGACTGGGGGCTCTCGGGGTCGCTGTACTCCTCGTGGCCCGGTGCATAGGCCGGGTCCGGTGGTGGCGGTGGCAGCCCTTGCTTCTTGTCGGTGTCATAGCCGGCTGGTGCCAGGCAGTGCTGGAGGTACCCTGCAGGGGCGACACAGCGGGGTCACCGTCACTCCGGGCCAGCCCCACCGGGGATGGTGGAAAAGCCACAGCCAAAAGTGCCCGTTGGGGGATGCGGAACCAGGGCTGTGCCCCCCCCCCGCACCGGTCCCTGTCCCCGCTCAGCCCCAGGGGCTGCCCTTGAGCACCGGAGCTGCCTCATGCACCCAGGGGCTGACTTTGCCCCACATCTGGAGCAGGATGGGTCCCTCCCGCGGGGCTGCCTGGGATGGGAGCGGGATGGGGCTGCGGGAGGTTCGGCTGCTGCTGCCCGGGTGCCGCAGCAGCCCCCGGGGGCCGCCCGCCGCCGCACAGCTGTCGGTGCAGAGCCTCATTGTTCACCGTAATGAGCTCTGCTCCGTCCAGCGCCGGCACCGGGCGAGCGGGAAAAGCCCACCCTGGGTTTCCCTTCTGCAGCAAAGGGCATGGGAAAGGCCCCCAGCCTCCCACTGACCCCCATTGGGGCTGAGCCGAGGCAGCTCCTGGAGGGCAGCAGCACCAGGGCCATGGGCTCGCGCCAAGGAGAGGGACCCGCAGCTCCCCAGGCACAGAACAGGGCTCGGGTGCTGCTCCAGCACTGTCACCCCTGTGTGACATTGGTGCAGGTCTGCTCATGGCCTGACTCCTGACCCTGGCAGAGCTGGGACCGCATGGGCATCCCCATCCCTCCGTGCTGGCACATGAAGGTCACTGCAGGAGGAGCAGTGCAGTCCTCTCCCTGCAGGGCCGTGTTCCTGTGGGACATGCAGCCACCCCTGGTTCCTCAAACTGGTCCCAGTGGTCTCCTGCCTTGTGTGACCGGCCCTTGTCCTGCTTCACAGGACACGTCCTCACCGTTGGTGGCAGTGGGGGCTGTCAGGGGGCTGGTGTCAATGCATGGCCAGGCTCACCAGTGCATGACACCCACCCCAGCTGCAGCCGAGCATCCCTAAACCTAGGTCCTGCCCATGGGATCTCCCACCCATGGGACCCCCAGCCCAGGGTGAGCGGCTGCTGTTGGGTGTTCCACAAGGTCTGGGGGTGCCTGTGGTGGGGAGGGGGCTGCGTGGCAGGGGCAGAGCTTGGCCCCACTGTGCTGACAGCGCGGGCTGTGCAGAAAGCGCTCTGCTCAGCAATTTCTCACACTGCCTCCGAGCATGCAGCAAGGTTATTTCCAGGAGAGCAGCGTCGGCAGCTTCTGCCCAGCTGCAGCACATCCCTCCCCCACCGGCCTCTGCTTCCCAATGCGGGAGGGGGGAAGCTGGGCACCCCCAGCCCCTCACACGCTGCCCACAGCACAGAAAGCCCACCGAGGGCTGGGGAGCAGCCAAAGCTGGGGGGACAACGCAGCACTGGGATGATGCTGGCTTGTGCATGGCTGGATCAGGCCCATTCCTGCATCCAGCTCAGCATCCCGGTACCCGAGCAGCCAGGACCCGACAGCCCCCGCTCTGGGACAGGACCTCCCCCCTCGGTCCCCTCTCTCAGGGCAGGTCCCTGGGCCGCCCCGTCTGGGGTCTCTGCACCCCAGTGACCCCCAAAACTCCCCCCTGTGTTCCCCAGCGGGACGCGGCCCCAGAGAACCCAGACCCCCCCCCCCCCCAACCCAGCCCCTGCACCTCTCCCAGCATTGCGGGGAGGGGGGGCTGCCCCTCGCCTCTCCCCCGCCTGCTCTCGGTACCCCGGGGAGGAGGCGGCCCCCCCGCGCTCCCGGGGGGGCTCGGGGCACCGCGGCGAACAATGAAACCTGCGGGCTCGGAGCCGCTCCGCTGCCCCCCGCGCCCCGGCGGCTTCGGACCCCCCCAAAACTTGTTATAGGAAGGGGCCGGCCTCGCTGCACCCCGGTTTGAGGGGCGCGGGTCCGGCCGGGGCGGGGGGATACCCGCGGGAATGCCGCTGTCAGACCGGGGATGCTTCCCTAAGGACCAACTTCGGCAGAGGCCGCTGGCCCCAGAGCCCCGAGGGGGGAGAGAGGTGCGGAGGGATGACCCCGACCCCCCCCCCCAACACCCCTCTGCACCCCCGCTCGACGGAGACCCCCGCCCCGTCCGGCCCCGCTCCCTCTGCACCCGGTGCCCCGGCGGTCGCTCACACAATAGCGGCTGCGGGGCCCCCCCGGAACCCCCGTCCCCGCACTCACCATCACCGGCGGCGGGGCCGGGCAGCGCGTAGGGGGGCTCCAGGGGGGTGTAGGGGGGCGCGGGGGCCCCGGCGGCCGGGAATGCCTCCGCCTTGAGCTTCTTCACCAGGAAGGAGCGGGGCATGGCGGGGCCGGGCCGGCGCCCTCAGCACTGGACAGCTCCGGTACCGGCACCGCCACCGGTCCCGGCCCCGGCACCGGCCCCCGCCCCGCCCGGCCCGGCCCCGCGCTGCGGACGGCGAGGAGCGGGGAGCGACTGCGAGGGGCGGGGAGGCAGGCAGAGAGCAGGGCGGCAGGAGGAGGAGGAGGAGGGATGAGGAGGAGGAGGGGACGAGGAGGAGGATAAGGGGGAGGAAGGCAGGCGGCGGGGGGGGGAAAGGGGCCGCTCCGCCCGGCCGCGCCTGGACCCCCCCCCCCCGGAGCCCCCTGAGCCGCCGGCAGCGCGGGGAGCCCCGGGCAGCGCTGCGGTGCGGGGTCCCCGGTCCCTCCCCCCGGTTCCCTCCTCCCCCTTCCCCTTCCCCGGACAATGGGGACACGCGGGGACGGGGGCTGGGACACGCTCCGCTGCCTCCCACCGCCTTTGTCTCCTGCCGCCAGCCCCCAGGGCTGTGAAGGACGGGGCTGCGGGGCGGGGGTCCCGGCCTTGGCCCTGCTCCCGTCCCCATCCCCGGCCCTGGCCCTTGTCTCCACCTCTGGCCCCTGTCCTTGTTTCTTGCCCCTTTCCCCTGTCCTTGCTCTCTGTTCCTATCCCTGATCTCTGTCCCCATTCCCGTCTGTCTCGTCCCTTCCCGTGTCCCTTGTTCTCTGGCTCCATCCCCATTCCCTCTTCCCTGCCCTGTCCCCTCTGCCCCGTCCCCATTCCTGCCCATTACACCTTTCCCCTTCCCTATCCCTCTTCCCTGTCCCTTTTCCCGCCTCCTCGCCCTCTCCCGTGTCCCTGTTCCCATCCCTGTCCCCATCCCAAGCCTGTGACCTTCGCAGCCCACAACAATAGCTGGGCTCGGTGCATTGTTCCCTGCCGGAGCCTCCTCCCCCCCCCCCTTCGCTGCTGGAGCAGGATGAGGCCCCGGTCCCGCAGGCACGGGTGGCCTGGGGCTGGTGTCCCTGTGCTGCTGGGGCTGGAGGGTGACACTGAGACCTGGCTGGCCACGGGCCCTGCTCTGCCTGAGCCCGGTGCTGTACCGAGCGGTGCGGTGCTGAGCTAAGGCCAGTCCTCATCCATCACTGCAGGCAGAGCGCTGGCACAGCCGTTACAGTGCAGCCCTGAGCACCCCCGGCTGCGGGAGCCAAGTGGCATCAGGATTGGGGGTCACAGGCAGCCCCCCCTGTGACAGGTACCCTGGCTCTGACTGCTCACAGCCATGACTGGGAGCCAGGACTGGGGCCATCCTTTGAGCTCATCGGGCTCATGGCTGTGTGTGGTACCCCATAATCCAGGGCATCCCACAACATCCCACGGTATCCTACAGCATCCCACATCACCCCACAGCCCAGGGCATCCCATAATCCACAGTATCCAATAGCCCTGAGTACCTTAGAGCTCACAGCACCCCCCCATCCCACAGGGGACCACATCCTTCAGCATCCTCGCGCCTACAGCCCCACATGTCCCACAGCATCCCACCTCACCCCAGACCCCAGTGCATCCCTCAGCATTCCACACCTCCAGGCCATTGCTGGGCTGGGGGGCCCGGGGTGCTCCCCACACATACTGGGCTCTCACCCCCCATCCCATGAGGCCTCGCAGGCAGCGTCACGGGTCCCATCCATCCCTGCAGCATCCCTGACATCAGGGCTCTGCCAAGTTCAAGGTCACCTCTCCCACAGGACCATGGCCCCTGGGCGGGGGGGAAGCTGCCTCCTGCAGGGGCTGCTCCCGGTGATCCCCTCCCCTCACACACCGGGCTCCCGGCCTCCGCTCCGTGGTTCATTATCCAGGCGTGTGCCGGGGCTCTCCTGGCAGGCGCTGGCAGAACGGGCCATTACTTACGCCCCAGTTGGGCCGGGCCTGCCCCGCTGCCCGGGGATTTTGTCTCTCTCCAGGCTGTGGTGTAATAAGGGAGGTAATTAAGTGTAAAAGACAGGGGGAGGGAGGGCTGGGAGAGGGGGAATAGGAACCCGGCTCCTTTCAGAGGCAGGGGACTGAGATAATGTATGTTAATAACCTGCAATCAGCCCTGCCGAGCTGTGCTGATATTGCTGACTGCAGCGCCTGGCCCCCCCTCCAAACCTGCCCCCGCCGGGCTGGGGAGGGAGGGGAGCTCCAGAAGAAAGGCTCAGCCTTTCTCCTCGGCTGCGGCCGGGTTTGTGCCTTCCTGAGCAGCTGTATGGAAATAATTCCCATCGGAGCCGATTGTTTCCTTGGCGAGAGGGAGGGGATCGGGGGGGGGGGGGGTGTGGAGGGTGTGTGTCCGGTGGGTGAGGGTCCCAAGGGCAGGAGCATCCTTGTGGGGTGCAGTGGGAGAGGGTCCCTGTTTCAGCTCCCAGTCTCCCTGCAAAGGCCGTGGGATGCATCCTGCTCGTGGGATGAGATGAATCACCCCACGGTGCCTCCCCGAAGGCCACATCCCTCTTGTCCTGACACTGAGCATCCCCCATGGGGCTGTGGGGTCAGCCAGGAGGTGCCGTGGGGCAGAGCCCGCTGCCCTCGCTCCTGCCTCTCGCTGGCGCAGGGGGCTGCTGGCCATTAGTGATTCCGACCGCGTCGCTCCCGGAGGCGGCCGGGCCGCAGCCGGAGCCCCGGAGTGGCTTTGAGGCAGAGGCTGGGTCTGGCGCTGCCGCCAGCTCCGGAGCAGATTGCCAGACAAAGGGCCGGGGACAAAGGCCCGGCTGCCTCGTGCCCCGGGGAGGGGGCGCAGGCGCGTGTGGGGCACGGGGGCTGTCCCGGTGTGCGGCTGCTGCTGCCCCCGGTCACCAGCGCCTGCCATGCCCCATCCCAGTTGGGTACCGGTGGTCCTGTGCCACCCCCTGACTGTCACTGGGCCCAGGGATGTGCTGTAGCCCCATCTCGGGGTGCAGCAGGGCTCAGGTGGGGTACAGAGGGGCACAGGGCTATGGGGAGGGAACAGAAAGCATGGATGGGGACACTGTGCCCTGTGGAAGGTGGCAAATGTCAGGCAGGTTCCCCCAGTCCCCTGTGCCTCAGTTTCCCCCCGCTGGTGCGGCCCTTGTGAAAGCCCCATGGTCTGTGTCTCCCCCCACTTCCCTTCCCCATGGCCAGGGCAGGGCAGGCTCCGGCAGGGCTCCGGCACAGCCCTGCTCAAGCCAGCTTTGTCCCTGCTCCCTGCAGCTGGCTGTAAACCCACTGACAGCCTCTGCGTGGCACAGGGCTGGGAATGCCGCTGGGGCCATGGGTGCAGCTGGGGACAGGGGGGTTTGGGGCATGATGTCAAACGGTGCCAGACCCCCCAGGGGATGTGGCCCAGGGGGGCAGCGGCGTGGGGGGGGGGGGGCAGAGGCAGCGGGGAGCAGAGGGCTGAGCAAACACCTTCTATTGCTTTGAACACAACAGGGACGCCCGGTGCTCAGAGCCACGGAGCTGCCCCAGCCCATGGGCACGGTGGGGACGCGCCCGCAGCCATCCCGGTGCCAGCGCTGCCTCCCGGCCCTCGCTGGCTTTGGGTGCACAGTGACAAGAGGGGGTGTCCGGGGGTGCTCAGGCCGGGCACTGCAGGCTGCAGTAGTCGGCCGATGTGAACAAGTTGTAGACGTTGACGAGGGGGAACATGAGCAAGGCCCCGAGGAGGGAGCCCAACTGCTCCATCGCCCCGTACCACACCAGCTCGTTGCGGCTGCAGCTGCGCAGGATCACCCCGGCCATCGCCTTCACGTAGGAGAGCGTCCCGGTGAAGAGCACCCAGGAGAGGACCTGAAGGGGAGAGCGGTCAGCAGGGCTCATGTGGGGTGCCCAGGGTGGGGATAGGGGACGTTGTGGTGAGGACAGAGCTTGGGGTGGCCCCAGAGACCTCGCCGGGTGAAGGGGACCCAAGTGACTTACAATGGTGACATCTCCCCACTGGGACTGCTGGAGGAGTGGGCAGGGACTCATCACCGCGATGGCCATGTTGTAGGCACCAAAGCCTGTCCCCAGCATGGTGAGGGTGCCCAGCAGGGCCAGGGACCTGCAAGGGACATGTGGGTGACACTGGGGTGAGGGGCACAGACCCATGGCACAGGCTCCATCCTCCTTCCCTGGGGTGTCTCTGCTGCCAGGGCACAGGAACCCCACAGCCCCTCTCCCATCCAATGCCTCCTTCTTCCCCCATTGCAAAGCAGAGTCTGTTTTGGAGGCAGAAGCCACCGGGGTGCACCCCACCGTGGTCCCCCAGCACCCTGATACTCACCTACCGGGCAGGAACATGGCCACGATGCAGGCCAGAGGGTTGGCCATGGAGCTGAGTGTGGTGGCGAGGTGGTAGGCGGTGTTGCCATAGGGCAGGCAGGAGTAGGACTGCACGGACGGCAGGACCCCGTTGGTCAGAGCGCTCACCCAAGCGACGAGGAGGTAGATGAAGGTGAGCTTGGCCAGGGAGTAGACCTGCTCCGGCATGATGCTCGTCAGCCCCTTGGCATCCTTTGGGCGTGGGCAGCCCCCGCTCAGCCGGGGGCCTCCTTCCTCACTGGGGGTCTGGTCGATTGAGCTCAGCATGATATTGCTGGGAAAGAGCTGCTGCTGGGAGAGCTCCCACTCCTTGGGCTGCCTGTTGAGGAAGAAGAAGGCCAGCAAGCAGGCCAGCATCATCACCGTCATGAGGAGAAAGAAGACGAGGGTGGAGAAGTTGGCTGGGAGGTAGTGGGTCTCTACGTGGAAGATGATGCTTTCCACGGTCTCGTTGCCGACGGTGACGTTGACCAAGCGGGTGGTGTTGTCACAGGTGGAGATGCCAGAGCCCTGGGCCAGGGCAATGAGGGCAGGGATCAGCCCGCTGAGCCCTTCACCTATGAAGAAGGTGTTGAGGAACTGGGGCTGCAGCTGCATCATGAAGGGCAGGAAGGTGACGGAGGAAGTGCAGTCCACCAGGGCCAGGAAGAAGGTGAGGAGCAGGAAGGCGGTGCTGTGGGGTGCCCCGGCGATGGAGGATGTGTATCTCCAGAGGAAGGCTAACAGTAAACAGGCCAGGACACCCACAGACACCACCACGTAGATTACAGCCTCCTCCTTCAGCAAGCCGGGCCGAAAGCGGTGCATGAGGGTGATGAAGAGCGGCCCCACGTTGGCCATCTGGATGATGATGGTGATGTA